ACTTTCACTTTTTTTGAACCAACGGACTCGGAAACATCACTGATGGCGACGACGACAAGAACAAGCGCACAAAAACAAAGGCTGTGCATCGTCATGTCAAATTGTCAATCTCTTTCAAATGGGTCTAGTGCTTTCGGTTGTTTTGGCGTTATCCAAAGTATACAAATAGGTCACGTATTTAACATTTGACATCTTATGGATAATTTGTTGCGTTTCAATCTCTCTCTATTGCAAGCGACCTATCCACAGGTGGGCTTTGTACTGTACACTTATAGCATCAATTGTCAATCGTTTGATGACAACATTGAGAGAAAATGGTCTACTAATTGATAAATCTCAACCATTGGATAACACAAGCGACGGTACATTGTTCCATCTTACAAATTTCCCGACCGCCAAAAAAATAACTATCCATGTAACAGTCGGAAAATCGGTCTTCAATCATTAAGATCGCGAGCCTTACACGAGGAACTTAAGGGTACTCTCGGTCTGTCCATTATGATTCTCCGATGATTGAGCAAGTAAACAAGGTAAGAGAGAGACATGGGTCGGTTCTCAAGCCTACAAAGCTCCATGTCTGATAATCTTCCCGATGATGTTTATTCGTTTATTAACAAAATGTCGATGCACTTTTTAATTTAGTTTGGGGTAAATTTATTACATGTGTATCAGTTTGAAGTTTTTCGTAATTAAAAAATTAGTTTGAGATAAATTTATCGTAATTATACCAGTTTGTGATTTTTCGTGATATTAACTCAAAGATAAAACATCATGGACAGCAGTCATAAACACGCGTGAACACACGTGACAAGTACTTAGAAATTCAGGCCAGACAATAATCGCGCGAGTCAAATCAAGGCAAATTATTCAAGATGAGAAGAGTTTAAAGTTCTCAAGATGATGATGATGTCTTGGACTTTTCTATCCTTACTGAGTTAACTCGTTCAAATTAGGCTGAGGATGATGCTCGTCACATGCGTGATTTCTTGACCAAAAAAAAAAAAAGAAATGCGCGATTTCTTTTGCTCATTGCGAATGAATGATGCGGAGAAAAAAGTAGCCCTGACGAGAAAAAAGTTGCTAATTTACTCGGACGTAGCTTGAGCGCTCGATTGTGCTGTCGTGGGGGAAAGGATAGGATACTAAGATTGGACAAGACATGATTGAGAAAATCTAATGTAGCCCAAAACATGATGAGATGTTGAATGAGGACATATATTGTTGCGAAAGTAAGTGATCGAACAGTAAAATATACAGATTAAAAAAAAATTGGACACTAGATTTACGTAGTTCGATTGTAGTGGCCTACGTATACGGAAAGAGTAGCAACGAATATCGCAATAGATCAAGTGGTACAACGGAGATTACAACCACACTCGAATCACTCAAACACTCTAAGTGTTTCCTAAGCCCCAATTTCACCTAATAAATCATGTAATGTTTAGCCCCATAATTCCTCACGAAATAATCTCACAATCTCACAAAGAAATTATACACAAATTTTACTGCAAGATTTAATCGCTACAAATACTCGAATATATTCAAAGTGTAATTTACTAGCAGAAGCTCCTCTTTGATGATATTCACAAATAACATCTTCTTATTTATAGGCAAAAATTGGATCCAAATTAGGAAACCTCTTTTTAGAAAAACTTCTCCAATTAAGAAACCTTCAATTCAATTAGGAAACCTATTCAAAATAGGAAACCTAATTGAATTAGGAAACTTTTTTTTTTCAGGTTCAAAATCGAGACATAATTTTAACAATCTTGACATTGACTCGACGTTTGAGCTAAGTCACAATCGTTTCGTCAGAACTTTACTACTACTTTCCCACAACCCCCAATGGGCTCAACCGCCACATACATCTTTCAAGTCCAAGCCGCGCTTGAATTTCGCTATAATCGTGGACCTCATGAGAAAACCAACTCCACATGCACCTTTAACCACTCCATAAAGATTTTCCGACACAACCTCCTTAACTGCAGATAAAGCAAAACATCATCGTACATGTACCTAGCCAATATCAGCAGTTATAGCAACCGTTGGTTCTATAGGCTCCACCTCACTGCAAGCACCATTTATGTCGATTATTTCGCTAGTACCTGCTACCTTAAGAATTTCTGGTTGCAACTCCACCTCAAGCTGAACACCGTTTAGATCCGTATGAACACTGCTATTAACACTCCTCCCAGAAGTACTAGAGACTAGTCAAACGTAACTTCTTTGCTGACAACAGGTGAATTTAATTCCGGGCACCACAACTTATAGTCCCGCTCACCTTGTGCATAACCTAGGAACATACACTTTCTTGCCCTTTCATCGAGCTTACCATCACTAACTCGAATATAACATGGACAACCAAATATTCTAATAACAGAATAATCAGCAACGTTGCCTGACCACACTTCTTCGGGAGTTCGATATCTAATTGCAGTCGATGGAGATCTATTCATCGGGTAGCTCGCTGTACTAAGCGCATCCACCAGGAATTTCCTAACCATACCAGCACTAGAGATCATTTTATGGGCCGTCTCTAATAATATTTTACTCATCAACCTTGCAATATGTTGTGGTTCATTAGCACTAGTGCGGTGTCTCACTATACCTTCCCTCATGCAGAATTCATTTAACAGCTCCAAGCAAAACTTCATACTATTGTCAGTCTGCACCTGCTTGATCGTTTTACTAGTCTCATTTTCGATCAAAGCTCTCAACTGCCTGATTCTAACAACAACATCAAACTTGTGCCTAAGCACAAACACCTAGTTCTTCCTCGAGTAGTCATCCACAACTATTATTATAAATATGGCACTCTTCTTCGAAGGAAACCGTGACAACTTGCGAACATCTAAGTAAATTAATTATGCAATATTTGTGGTTTCTTTGACAATCGCATTGAACTACACTTTTCGCTGTTGATTTAAATCACAACACCTGCATACATTCAATTCGTCAGCAACATAACCACATAACAAGTTCCTTTCACTTAGAACCTTCAGGCTTTTCTCGCTAATGTGCCCTAAACTCATATGCCACAATTCAGACTCTTGAACAGATGCATCCAACATCTCCGCGGTGAATTCCGTCACTATATCACCTTGAAGCTCATACATGCCGTTGTGCTTGATTTCTTTCATTATCACCAAGGCACCTCGAATAACCTTTAGAACTCCACATTCCGAAGAATATCGATACCAAGCTAAATCCAGGGCACTCAAGAAAATTAGATTTTTCTTCATCTCCGGAACATGCCTCACTTCAGTCAATGTCCACACAATACCATCATAAATTCTTATTCTAATATCACCCAACACCTATAACATCGCACTTCGCGTTGTTCCTCAATTGTACTTTACTACTATCCATGTATTGATACGTAGTAAATCGGTTTCTGTTTGGTGTAACATAAAAAGAACAACCAGAATCCATAATTCATCTGCCAAAGGATAAATCATCAGTAACAGATAAGACATAATCAGCACTATCCGAATTACTATTTGCTATAGCTGCAACATCATCCGCAAACTCAATTTTAATTTCTTTACCCTTGTTATTTTTCAGCTTAAAGCAATCCCTTCTAAGATGCTCCCTTTTGCCACAACTCCAATATACAGCACCACTAGTCCTAGACTGACTTCGTTTATTCATGTTTATACTACTTCTGCTAACATGAGTGTTAGTTCTTCCTCTTCTTTCACATACTAAAGCAGTAAACACATGTTCATCACATTCTCTACTTTGGATGTCCTCGCTCAAAATTAAATCTCGAACACCATCAAGAGTCAAGCTTGTTGACCCAGAGGAATTACTAACATCAGTAATAGTAGTATTCCAACTATGAGGCAATGGGGATAATAGAATCAAAGCACATACCTCATCTTCAAAGTCGATATCAACTGGACTCAATTGACTAACGATCACATCGAATTCATTGATATGATCTGCAAATGATGCACCTTCACTCATCTTCAAGTTAAACAAATGTCGCATTAAATAGACCTTGTTAATCGCAGATGGCTTCTCGTACATGTCCAACAAGGCTTCATCAAACCCGCAGTGGTCTTCTCTTTCACGATGTTAAATGTGACGTTACGAGTCAACGTCAGCCGAATAACACCTAAAGCTCATCTATCCATCAATTCCCAATTAGATTGCTTCATCGTTGCTAGCTTTTTCCTAGATAGGGGTAAGTGCAGTTTCATCTGATACAGACAATCTTTAATTTGCATCTTCCAGAAACCAAAGTTATTCCTATCAAATATGTCGATTTTCACTTTTCCTTCTTCTGTCGCCATTGATTTGCTTCAACTTAGCCAAGCCTAACTCTGATGCCTCGAATAGTAAAATAGACATAAAGAAAATAAATCGAACACCAGATTTACATGATTCGATCGTAATGACCTACGTCCATGAGGAGAGCAGCAACGAATTCCACTATAGATCAAGCGGTACAACGGAGATGACAACCACACTCAAATCACTCAAACACTCTAAGTGTTTCCCAAGTCTCAATTACACCCAATAAATCACACAATGTTTAGCCCCACAATTTCTCACGAAATAATCTCTCAATCTTGCGAAGAAATTATACACAAATCTTACCGCAAGATTTTATCGCTACAAACACTCGAATATCTTCAGAGTGTAATTCACTAGCAGAAACTCCTATTTAATGATCTTCACAAATAACATCTTCTTATTTATAGGCAAGAATTGGATCCAAATTAGGAAACTTCTTTTAGGAAACCTTCTCCAATTGGGAAATCTATTCAAAATAGGAAACCTAATTGAATTAGGAAACTTTCCTTTTCGGGCTTAAAATTGAAGCATAATTTTAACATATACTTCAAAATCTAGTATTCTGTGTGTTTTTCGGACGCAATGAGGTCTAAATATAAAGATACTGATGAAAAGTTATGCAACGAGATATAGCAAGCTAGCCGGTGTAAGGAATACCTTAGGCGTGCCAAGGATTCCAACCATTATATTCACCTAAATCATGGCGCATTATTCGAGATGTCATCGATTAACCGACCCAAAGACAAGTAGAAAGACTCACCCTTGACCAATGCCTTCCTACTTTTCACACTCACCTTCTTCCGCCTATTGTCACCTGCCTCCTCCATTAGCTTCCTTATTCCGGCCTTTATTTCGTCCGTCGTCACGACGTCGCTCTCCATCCCAAGATCCCTCCTGTAGTCCATCCTGATCTCCGCCGCGAGGCCCAGCTCCACGACCAGCTCGAATGAGTTGAACTGTTGCTCCGCGTACAAAGGCCACGTGGCCATCGCCACACCGAACCATATTCTCTTGATGGTAGAGTGCCATTCGCAGTGTGACACAAACCCCCCGATCGCTGGGTGGGCCAGAACCGCAGCTTGCGTGGCCCACCCAATCACTTTCCCGATGCCAGACGTCTGGTCTAGGAACCCCTCAGGCAAGACCTCTGTGGAGTCCTTGTAGTCGCGCAGGTACCAATTTTTGCCGTTCGGCGGCAGCAGCCGTAGGGACCATAGGGAGCGGTGCCCATTCCACTCTAGTGTGCATACCATCTCCTTCATTTGATCGTTACCGAAGCTACCCTTGCTCCCAAAGCACAGGAAAACCACTAATGAGGGTCGTTGCTTGTCGAGCCACTCCATTATGTCGTCGCCTCCGCGGCCACTATTAGCCTTCTTTTTAGTCTCACCTTTCAGATTTAGTATGGGCCCCACGGGGTACACTGCGGGAGCCCAGAGGCCTGCCAAGGACCTCACTGCATGTGAATCGAGCTCATTGAAAGTATTTACCACGATTGCCTTTGTTGCTCTCATCCTCTTGGTGTGCTCCAGGAACATTTCGACTGCGTCCTTCATCAGAACTAGGGTGGGTAAGACCTTGGCTAGTAATGGATTCGTGAAACTCGAGAAATCCAGCTCACCGATCGGGTCCTTGAATTCGGTCATGTCCATATGGTTCTCGTCTTGGGGCAACTGGAGGTGCAACATCAAGCCGAGGAACGCGACGCTTGACATGAAGAAGACATATGACGGCACTCTAAACTCATCTGCCAAGTCAATCATGGTGGTGCAGAACGTGTCAAGAACGAACCCCGCAAGCCGCCCTGTCGAGCCGGCCAATTCGGCGAGCTCAACAACCATCCACTTGACATGGGGCTTGTTACTTTCTTATTACAATTGTGCCAATTCAATTATAAACTTTTTGTATTTATGCCAATTAAGTCAATCCGGCTAATTTTAGTTGGAATTCTCTAATCAATCCGGCTATTCAATAATATTTTAATATTTTTTGAATTTTTATTAATTTTTTTCTTTTCTTCTCTTTTCCTTCTTTCCTTCATTCCTTCTTTACTCTTTTTTTTCCTTTTCTCTTCTTTTCTTTCTTTTAGTTTCCCTTTTTCCCCTCCGCCAGCCATCATCGGGCCTTGTTGATTGCCGGTGAAGGTTGACCCTCGCCCGAGAGTGGCCATTGCTAGATCTTGCAAGGGTGACCCTCGCCTGAGGCCGACAACCTCCGCCGGACATTGACGACGCTTATTGATGGCTAGCGAAGGGAAAAAAGAAAAAAAAAAGAAATGAAAAGAAAAGGAAAAAAAATAAAGAAGGAAAAGAGAAGAAAAGAAAAAAAAAGGAAAATTTAAAAAAATTATTAAATAATTTGATTTTTTAAATATTATTAAAAATTATCTACATCAGTGTAGGCCACGCCACTAGGACGGTTCATGTCTACATCAGTGAATTTTGGCCAAAATTGGCCGATTGGACTCAATTGGCATAAATGAAAAAGGTTTAGGATTCAATTGGTAAAAAAATATTTAAAATTGAATTGACATAATTGCAATAAATTTAAGATTTTTTTGTTAATTTTTCCAAATCAATTCTAACAAACCTCACGCATTGATGATTCAAGTGAGGACTAATGCTCATGAATAAGGCGATTTTCATGATATTATATTTATACGAAATTCCAAATTGTCTTTGTTCACAAGTTCAGGTCATCGATTGGAAAAAAGCTGAGTAACCATCGCTAAAATTGTTCATGTATTCAGAAAATGGTTTAGCCTGGTGACATTTCACAACACAATTCAAACTCATTTGACCGTGGATATATTTAAGTTTAATCAAAATTGCAAAATTTTCAAGTTTAATGTATGTTTAAAATATATATATTGGATAGAAAATCATGATTGAAGTGTCGGACTGACCCACCAATTTAGGCGGAAGATCAAAGAATGTTAGGTTATTCGGAGACATCAAGGTGATATGCTCCATACATGAGGAAGATTTGTCAACGAGAGAGAGAGAGAGAGAGAGAGAGAGAGAGAGAGAGAGAGAGAGAGAGAGAGAGAGAGAGATTTTCGAGAGCAATTGACGCAGAAAAAAGCGATAACTTGGAAAACTCTTCCACGATTGAACTAGAATTCAATTCAATTTCATAATATCTGAATACAAAGCTGGACGTCCTTTTATAATGATAGGACTCCTAAAGATATCCGAATTAATGAAGATAACATCAAAGCAAATCAAATCTAATCTTATCTAATAAAATCAAACGAAATATTGATAATTAGAAATTGTCTAAAGTAAAAATACCGCCTAATCAGAAAAACTGCCGAGATTTCTGGCGATTACGGCGATCACATTCTTCAAGATAATCACAGGCTAACTGTTCTACATCATTCCCTCCCTCTTCGGGAAAACTCGCCCTCGAGTTATGATTAGGATAGAGGGGTGTATTGGGAGCATGATACTCAAATAAGTCTGCCACATTAAATGTAGGAGAAATGTTGAGATCACCAGGAAGGTCAACTACATAGGCATTGTCGTTGATCTTCTTCAGGATGCGGCAAGGACCAATCTTCTTGTGCTTCAGTTTATTATAGGTACCTACAGGAAAACGCTCCTTTCTTAGGAAAACCATTACCTCATTGCCTACCTCAAAAATTTTCGAACGTCGCCATTTGTCAGCATCCTCCTTATACTTTGGATTAGAAGCAGCCAATTGACTAGCAACAGCAGCTTGGACTTCATTAATTCTGGTCGCCAAATTCTCCGCCGCGACACTATAGCCAGGAATCTTGGGCAAGGGAACCAAATCCAGAGTATGCTGTGGTGTACGCCCATAAACGACCTGAAAGAGAGATGTACCGGTAGAGCGGTTAACCGAGTTGTTGAAGGCGAATTCAGCAGGAGCAAGATACCGGTCCCACTGCTTAGGCATATCACTGTAGGGGCAGCGAATGATATCCGCCATAGTACGATTCACAACTTCCGTCTGACCATCCGTTTGGGGATGAAAAGAACTACGATACTGTAAATCAGTCCCAAACAAACGCCATAAGTGCTTCTGACTCTTGATATATTTAAGAGCCTGATGATCGGTGTTAAAAACAAATTCCTGCTGATAAAGATAGGACTGCCAATGCTTTATAGCTCGCACGACAACATAATATTCCTGCTCATACGTCGACCAACGCCGGCGAACTTCATTAAGTTTTTCACTAAAGAAGGCTATAGGCTTACCTTCTTGGGAAAGGACAGCGCCAATCCCGACGCCGGAAGCATAACAGTCCAGCTTGAACACTTTCTCAAAATCAGGGAGCATCAATACCGGCGTCGTGGAGAGTTTTCCTTTTATAAGAGCAAAATTGGCCGAAGCTTCTTCTCCCCAATGGAATTTGCCCTTCTTTAAACAGTCAGTGATCGGGGCAATAATAGTACTGAAATCTCGAGTGAAACACCTATAGAATATTGCAAGACCATGGAAACTTCGAGCCTCGCCAACATTCTTTGGAACTGGCCAATTGCGAATCACGGCCACCTTATCTGCATCAATGTGAAGTCCATCCGCGCCAACAACAAAACCCAAAAACAAGAGGTGTTCTGTCATGAAGCTGCACTTTTTCAGATTAATGAACAATTTATTTTGCTGCAAGGTTAGTAGGACGTCCCTCAAGTGCTCCATGTGTTGACGCCCATCTAGACTATATATGAGTATATCATCAAAGAAAACTACCACAAACTTGCCAAGAAAAGGTTTGAGAACCTGAGTCATCAAACGCATGAAAGTACTAGGCGCGTTAATGAGTCCAAACGGCATGACAAGCCATTCGTACAAACCTGCACTTGTCTTGAAGGCCATTTTCCATTTGTCATCAGGATGGATGCGAACTTGGTGGTATCCACTTCGAAGGTCGATCTTCGTAAAAATCTATGATCCAGCAAGTCTGTCTAGCATATCATCAAGTCGTGGAATAGGAAACCTATACTTGACAGTAATCCGGTTAATGGCACGACTGTCTACACACATATGCATGGTGCCGTCTTTCTTTGGCGTGAGAAGCGCAGGAACTGCACATGGACTTTTGCTTTCACGCAAGAAGCCCTTTTGAAGGAGCTCTCCCACTTGCTCCTGTAGAATCTGATTCTCCTTCGAATTCATCCGATAATGCGGCAAATTAGGAAGACTAGCACCTGGAAGAAAATCAATCTCATGCTGGATATCCCTCAAAGGAGGTAATCCGTCAGGTAAATCCTCAGGTATAACATCACTAAATACCTTTAATAAGGGCTTAAGAATGTCGGGAACACGAACCACAACTTGCTAGTCGCCCTTGTCCACAATCATATACATCCCTTCACGCTTTCGGATGTTCATCATAACCCCTGCATTCTGCTTCTTCACAATCTGAGGGGAAGTACTCTTCGGTCTCAAAGTAATTTTAGTCATTTTCCACACAAAAGAATACGTATTCTCCCTAGCTCGGTGTGTAGCATCAACATCATATTGCCATGGCCGACCTAGTAAAACATGACACGCATCCATCTCCACAACATCACAGACAATAGTATCTTGATATGATTTCCCGATCGAAATAGGTAAACGGCATAATTGGTTTACCTTAAGTTCTGCTCCCTTGCATATCCACCCGATCGTGTTACGCGCGGGATGCGGCTCCGTCTTTAGTTGCAAGTGATCCACCAAGGCCTTTAACACTATGTTCTCGCAACTTCCGCCGTCAATAATGATATCGCATACTTTGCCATTGACAATACATCGAGCGTGGAAAAGCTGATTCCGCTGGGTATCTTCTGTCCGCGGAGTAAGCAATAGACGACGCACTACACAATTAACTTGCTCGCCCACTTCATCTTCCACTCTCACTTCTTCTTCATTTTCCCAATCTTTCTCATACACATCTTCGTCATGTTCAACGATATTGGCCATTCTACGACGAGGACAATCGTTGGAACGATGGCCCAACTCGTTACACTTGTAGCACCTGATCGGTTGGGGCTTGGCATATGGATTCTGGGTATTCTGATTGGGAGTACAATTGCTTGCTGCGACTGCTTCCTTAGGCGTCCCACTAGTACCCCCTAGAACTCGGCTCGAATCAGGTGTTTGTTGACTAGAAGAACTTGCAACATCAGGCTGTCTTCCTTTCCCGAATGACCCACGACCCGAATAATTGCTACCACGAGTACTAGGGCTAGTCCTCTCCAATTGCACCTCAATTTTTCGCGCCATATCCTGGGCATCTTCGACTGAGAATAGTCGATGCAAAGAAACCCGATCCTGGATATTAAGTCGTAAACCATTAATGTACCTAGCAGTTTGTTGTGCCTCGGACTCATCCAGGTTATTGCGAGCAAAGAGTCGAAGGAACTCTTCCGTATAAGCTTGGACCGATTTCGATTGTCGGCAATTCTGGAATTGCTGAAATAACAGTTGCTCATAGTCCGTTGGGAGGAACCTCTTCTTCAACTTCTGTTTCATCTGACCCCATGATCCAATAGGAGCCTTGCCTTGTCGACGTCGCGTCAATTGAGTCTGTTCCCACTAAGCTGAAGCGCCACAAGTTTCAATCGGCGATCCTCGTCAATATCCATAGCGTCGAAGAATTTTTCGACCTCCCAAAGCCAATCAAGGAAATCTTCAATATCCAAATTCCCATTAAAAGTGGGGAGATCTACCTTTAGTTGATACTGCTCAGGATCTCGTCGATATCCTCCCTGACGTCGATTCCCACGAACATGCTCCTCCTGGAATCCCCTGTATCGGTGACCACCACGAATCTGCATCTCATGGAAATCATCGTCTTCATCTTCCATATCCTCGACATAGTCTTGACGCCTTTGTCGGGGAATTCCTCCACGCCCCATAGCATCTTCGGGATCACGAACGACAGGAATTCGCTCGGCTGGAAGATTGCATGGCCCATGGTTTGTGGACAAACGCTGGATGGCATCAAGGATCTCTTGAAACCTCCGATCGGTTTGATCCACGAACTAATTGAACTCAGCCCGCGTAATAGGCTCGTTCTCACGGCCCTTAGCAGCGGGGAGATTGACATTCACATTATTCACCATCGTCACAGGAGAAACCTGCTCTGATACCAAATGACACAGAAAGAAGCGATAACTTGGAAAACTCTTCCACGATTCGACTAGAATTCAATTCAATTTCATAATATCTGAATACAAAGCTGGACGTCCTTTTATAATGATAGGACTCCTAAAGATATCCGAATTAATGAAGATAACATCAAAGCAAATCAAATCTAATATTATAAAATCAAATCTAATCTTATCTAATTAAAATCTAATCTAATCTTATAAAATCAAATCTAATCTTATCTAATAAAATCAAACGAAATATTGATAATTAGAAATTGCCTAAAGTAAAAATACTGCCTAATCAGAAAAACTGCCGAGATTTCCGGCGATTACGGCGATCACATTCTTCAAGATAATCACAGGCTAACTGTTCTACATCAGCAATGCACAAAGTGCAAGAAGAAAGGACAAAGGGAATACTTGCATCCACGCACCAATGCAACCAGACAAGGACAATGGACTATTCTAGTCCACAAATTCGATTTACAAAAGATTATCAAGTGCCTTAAGTCATCACTGAGATCTGACAAAACACTCGACAAATTCGATGGTCCACCATGTACATGTTAGGCAAATATTTCACCCAAGAATTTTCGCACCGTTCATGGACTCTGATTGATTTTAATTATCCAACTGCCCATTAATTAAGCCTATGCTAAGATGAAATTTTCATACCGCTTATTTAGAATTAGAATGAGGCTTGCTTAAGAGATGCAATTGATATTCTCAATCATTCAAAGTGAACACGTATTTTAAAATGAAACATGAGAGGATATACTGCTAATGCTAATAAAACTTCATATAAACAGTCTAATCAAACCTTGATTTGTGAGGATTTTAACTAGCAAATCTCTTACTAACCATCATTTCAAGAGTGGATAAGTTCGCTTGATGAAATTTTTTTTTTACACCGACAGTGTATCTTAGATTTCCATGATAACCTGACTTTTATGAGTACAAATTGATCTAGTACGATGAAAACAACCTTTTTTTATTCAACATGCATACACCGGAAATGCTAGGGTTGATCAAGGCACATTATTCAAGATATCCTCAATCAAACGACCCAAAGATAAGTAACAAGAGCCACCCTCAAACAATGCCTTCTGACTCTTCTCACTCACCTCTTCCACCTTCTTTGGTATCTCCCTGCCGACGTCCTCCATTAAATTCTTTATTCTGCCCTCTATTTCCTCTGCTGTCACCACAAAGTCGTTCTCCATCCCGAAATCCCTCCTGTAGTCCATCTTGATCCCCACCGCAAGGCCCAGCTCCACCACCAACTCGAACGCATTGAACTGTTGCTCCGCATATAGGGGCCATGTGGCGATCGCCACGCCGAACCAAATGCTCTCCAGAGTGGAGTTCCATCCGCAGTGCAACACGAACCCCCGATCGCTGGGTGGGCCAGGACCGCAGCCTGTGGAGCCCACCCAATCACTTTCCCGACACCTGCCGTCCGGTCCAGGAACCCCTCCGGCAAGACCTCCGCGGGGTCCATGTAGTCATGTCGTAAGTCAAACTTGCCCTTCGGTGGCGGCCGTCGTAAGGACCATAGGAAATAGTGCCCACTTCGCTCCAGCGCGCAAGCCATCTACTTCACCCGGTCCTCGCTGAAGCTCCCCCCACTCCCGAAGCACAAGAAAACCACCGATGAAGGCGGTTGCTTGTCGAGCCACTCTATGATATCATCGCCTCGGCAGCCACCATCGGCCTTTGTTTTAGTCTCTCCCTTCAAATTCAGTATGGGCCCCACAGGGTACACCATGGGCGCCCCGAGGTCCGCCAAGGACCCCAGTGCACGGGGTTCGAGCACGTCAAACGTACTAATGATAATTCCCTTTATCGCTCTTA